TCAGTGTGTTAACCGGATCACAGGGCAGCGTGGAGCTCGAGAAAAACGTGAAGACTGGCAGTTTCGTCAATTTGAAGGAGGTCCGGTCGCGGTAGTTGGCTACATACCATGTATCTTCCTGATAGTGATCAGTGTTTGCTACAAAATACGGAATTCGGTTTTAGAAGGTCCTTGAGACTGTGTGAAAATCTGGGCTAACGAAGTAGTTGAGACTAAATGTTGCCGATAAAGGAATGCAGACAGATGTAGACGGAGCGGAAATTGAACCGTAATAATCCCATTTCGTGTCTCTCAGAATCGTTCAATGTGACACGTTTGCGTGAGGAGCCAAACTCGTGAAGAATAGAACAGTGAAGATTCGGGGCCGATCAGACCTTTTTTTATTATGCGTTACGCATTCCAACAATTACCATCTTATGTGATGGTATTCGAATGTTTCGGCCTATACGATGATGTGCTTGATCAGGCCAGACACCTTCCGTATTTTTATCCTTCTAGAGGAGTCTATTAGTAGCTACCGTAGGAAAATTGGAAACTTATGATGGTTCGTACGAAGACCTAATCCACGAATTGACTGGAACCGCGCAGTTGATTCCGCGCCGTTTCTCGCTGTCACTGTTCACCAGCCATGTTAAAGGCAAAGTTCGGGCTCAGACCCACTTAACAAGCCCTTACCATGGCTAGAAGTGCTGGGTACGCAAGTGCAAAGGTAGCGCCACCTTTCTACATCGAAACGCGTCACTAGACGCTAGGCGCCATGGACTTCTAACAGACTCCACCAAACTTAACATGGTCCGCCCACCGTTCGATATCTTGTCTGCGTCGCTTTGATCTGCTATGCTCTCTCTTCTCGACTTCTCTACCGCTCTCTCACATTATCTCTCATCTCCCTGCCTGCTTTTGAACTTTTCCGCAGCGTATAAAAGATAAAGGATAAAGCATTTGCCGTTGATCAATCCCTTTTTGGGATGCGGCACGCATTCTACTTCCATTTGTACATTCGTAGTGGCGTTTGAATGCGATGTGGCCTATACAATGACTTGCGGGGGCCAGCCGATGTACAAGTCAGTGTGTTTTTATCCTCCCAGACAAGTCTGGTACCAATTAACCGACCCCGGAGGGATGGAATCATTTCCGTAGAAGCGTATAGCAAGTTATATTTCCTGTGTAATTCACGATCTTCCTTACCTTTTCCCTCCACATGTAATTCGCATCCCATCCCTACTTTCATATTTGTGGCGGAGATCCCAACATCCATTACAGTCCGATTCTTACCGTTCAAGCAGACTTACACACCTTTGTAATTCGCACCTCATACATGACAATTATTGAGATCTTACGGTTCGGATATAGAGAGGTGCTCAGCCTAAGAGGTATCGTTTTGTACCAGGGAAGATCTCGATAAGTTTTTGTAGGTTATGGATCAAGATGGGAGAATGATTGAAATTGGACTCGAAAAGAAGGTGGTCGATGACGATTGGGACGCAGTGAGCGTCAGCTCTACAGAGACGATTGAAGTAGCCAACTGTTCGCAAAGGCTTCGAGGATTTTTTCTTCGTCTACTGCTTTCATTGCTTGTCATCGGCGCTTGCGCTGGGGCATTAGTTTGGTCATTCGTGAATGGTTAGTTTGTCCGTGATTTTCCTATCATCTAGGATTTCTTCGTTGACCAGAATCTTTTATACAACACTTATTTACTGTTTGACTGTACCAAAAGGCACGGGTAGAGATCGAACTAGGATATTATTGTGTTCAAAAATCGAAAAAGAAAAACGATAAGGAACACAAGTGGGGAGAAAAAGCAAAAAGCACCATAGAAAACACTAAATTTCCCTTAGGAGGCCGGCCGTAGTACGACGGAGAGACACAGCGCTGCGAGGAGGGAAAGGCGAGAGCACGTGGTACGCGAGAGGGCGCAAACGCGCAAAAATATATGCGCTCGATAGAGTGGCAGGGCCGGCACTGTACAAGGCAAGGCCTTATCGCGGCAGTGTCGCGGGTCCTGGGTTTGTGAACCCCTCTTTCTTACTCCAAGAAAGGCCATCTCTCAGCACCTAGTAACTACCTGTAGCTTTTATAACTGTTTTATATCACGAAAAATTCATCGTACTGGGAGATCTGGGACTAGCTATAGTTAGCTTACCAAACTTTATCGTTATAAGGTCAGCAGGGCAACTAAGTTATGCTTGATAGTAAGACTTTCGTTCGCCTTTATATGTACCGTCTGGGACCGTTGAACTAGAAGAGCTCTCGACAATGACGAATTGAGGTCGCGCTGATGAGTACGGCTTCCTTCTTACAAAGTTTTCCTTCTTTTCGGAACATACCTTTCTGGTTCCTCTGCTTTTCTTAATTACACATGTTTAGCTAATTTGCTAGTGTTTTGCATAGAGAGAAGTCATAAATTATCACAGAAAGGAAATGATGAAGAGACCAAAAAGATGAATGTTTCCAGGAGAGGCAGGGATCAACACCATTCACCAGCGAAATGCCTCGAAAAACTTCTCGATCCTAGTCGACGAGTACTCCGTGAAAGAAGGCGTCTATAGTGTAGTTTATCGTACGCCAGACTCTAGCAACGGAGGTCTCCAAGTGAGTGAAATTTGCATGGAATTATGCGCTCGTAAAAACCTCCAGAAAATACTACATTCTTCTTGCTCTCGGCCAAGGGTACCCCCCAGGAGGCCCATCGCGCGGCAAGAAGGCAGAGTCGGCGGACGAGTCGCAGCGCGTGATGTGCGATGTAGGACGTGCAATGGGACATTCTATTTAACTTGACGCGAAATCCCTAGTACGCGCGCGACTCGTCCGCTGACTCGGCCTTCTTGCCGCGCGACGGGCCTCCTGGGGGGTACCCCCATCAAGCTGTCAACGATTCTTCCCGTCACTAACACTGGTGCTTTCAACTCTAGCCAGTCGACACAGGTCAACCCCCTCCCTTCCCCCTTAGTGCGACCATCGAGCAGGGAGGGGTAAATATGTCTGAAGAGATCGAAAATCCTCTAATTTCTCAAAATTCCTAGTTCCTGCTCTTTCATGAAGTTTACCTGAAAATCGTCATAAAACCGTCAGATTCCAACTCCCTGTGCCACCGCCACAGCCCCTCATCTTCCACAAATACACCCCTATTTTACTTTTGAACTTCACCAACCCAAATACGGCCCCTTTGTTGAAAACTGCGCAATGCACGACTACTTCCCCGGCTTGGAGGCGCTAGTCCAACCAACAACCATCAACCCCTACTGCAATAGGTAATCACCGCCTCAACTGCTTTTGACCCAGCATATCTTTTTTTCGAAAATGGCAGATTCTACTTTTCCTGCCGCTTTATTTTACGGATAATCCCATTCGTACTACCCCTCTCATGAACTCAATAAACGATTTGTACTTCAAAAATGACCGACGTGTTGGAACCGAAGACATCACAAGACAACAGAACGACATCGAAATCTTGTGCGTCTATATGTCTATGAATGAGCTTTGCGGAGCGGTTCGTTATAAAACTTCAGATTTTAGTCACGTGTTATACTCGAAGGAAGCGATTACGATGAGGAATTTTTGCATTGGGGGAGAACCTGCTCCAAAAGGAGCAATCACTTGGCTGCCAAGGAAGCGATGCGTGGCGTTTCCACGGCGAAAGGTGCTGTGGTTGCTGAGCAGGACCTTCGCAGCACTCCGCCCCAGCAGTCTGTATGTTATCTCGGTAACTTGGTGTGTGTGTGTCGAACAGTGCTTGTAGGGCACGGAAAAAACTAAAGCATTCGACTGCAGCATGGATTGGCATTCTGTCACGCGCTGTGCTAAACCCGTTCATACGCCCCCTTTCTGAGCTGCTACCTGTTCATGAGTGAAAACTAGCGGCCGAAAAGGGGGTCCCGCTTGAAGGGGTTCACTGATGGTATGTCTCCATTTCTTTCGGTTCTGGCGATTACACTCAGCACCATGATTAAAACCCTTCTTGAATCTAACGTTCACTGCCTTCAAAGGAGGATTTTCTATTGGATCCTGAGAAAGTTCTCTCCGTGAATGAGATAGCAGTGTCCCTAGCATTAGAGTCATTTGCGGCACAGGTCACAAGGATGCTACCGCCTTCCCTCGAGCGCTGCCATTTTCAACCGTTTGCAGCGTTAGCATGTCTGCTTCCTCTCATGCGACAAACTCTCATATAATCCCTTCCTTCGCACTGCTGTGTCTCCCGCACCGGGGTCGATCGTACAACAGGGAGGTCTTCAATTTCAGTGTTTTCTGTAGTCCCTTTGCCTTTTTCTCCTCACTGGCGATCCTCTTGCACCCTTTGCTTCATATTCGAGCGCAACACAGTCCATCTCGATTGCGATCCGCGTCTTGAGTTCTCAATACGCGCCCTCCAACTTTGCTTTCTTATTATACCTGAGAGGATTAAAGGCAGCGCTTACGATAAATTCAAGAAGGAGTTTAATGTGACGCGGTGGTGCTAAATGGTACACCAGAAGCGAAAAAAAGCAGAAAAATCCGTCAAGAATACGCAAAACGGGACCCCTTTTTTTGGACCGTTGGTTTTCACTCAGTGAACAGGTAACAGCTCAGAAAGTGAGTATGAAACGAGTTACTCGCAACGCGTTTGATGGCAACATTATTGCCAAAT